GTCAAAAGCCAGCTCTGAGATCTGTACCTCTTTAGGACCTCATTTTTTATGATACAATTCCAACCACTGAAAAGGAAAGCGCAAGGCACAGACAATACACAGGGCCTGGAATGAGTTCTGAGAGAACATGTCCATAGGATACTACATCAGTGAAATTAGTGTCCTCTTCAGACAGATCAGTATATTTAGTAGAATCACCAAAAATATTCAAAAGAAAATTCTATAATTATAAAAATTATTATTTATTTAATATCACAATGCTCTCACTCTCAATGACATTCTGTAAGCAGAGAAGTCTATAAATATACTCTGTGCACATAAAACTTGCACTTTTTCCATTTGTATTTCCATTTCAGGAGGTGATTTCTCATTCCTGTAACCAGGGGTGTAACCAACTGCAATTTAGAGGACTGTGAAAAAAAGAAATGGTCACCCACACTGCAAAAGAGAAAAACAATTACACAAAACCAGACAAACACAGCATAGATTGTAGTTTATAACAAATCAAATGTCAAGTACACAGAGTGAAACAGAAAAAGTTAAAGCCACAAACATCCATGAATAAGTTTAGATCAAAAATTAGAGTAAAACTTTGAACAGACAAGCAGTAAAAAGCAGCACCAGCAGCACATGAACAAGCTTTGGAGGGCTGGCACTGATGTTTTATGAATCAGCTGCCCAAACTAAAGTAGGAGATGGGACAAGAATGACACAGATGTCCCCTCTAGTCCTAGATCTTCAAGAGTAGCTATCTCTGCTTTACCTAAGAGATCTCTCTTCAGAGCAGGTCTGCCATCCCTTGTGAAACAACAGCTACTACCACAGGAGAAAACCAAGATTTGCTGTTAGCAGGGGTGGTAACGGAGGGATGAGCACTTGTGGACACAACACACGGCACAGATGTTATTCAAACACACTCCTTACACACTTCATCTTTAAGGATATTCTATGTATAGAGGTGCCACTATCTATGTATAAAAACTTCTACTTTTTCGGATAAATTCCATCAGATAATACCCATTGCTCAAATTAAGTTTGTAGATCACTATGAAGTATTATTCTTTTCCATACAGCTGCTAAAATACAACTTACTTCCTTGACAAAAACAACCCTTTACTGAGCCCAGACAATTAAGCACTAATAATACTGAATTTCCTTCTAAGGCTCTGCCAAGGATAAATCTCAGCCAGTGTATATCAGAAAACACAGGAACAAAATCACATACACCCTTAATATACTGTGTGTTTTCATATCAAACCAAAAGGAAGCATTGAAGCCACCACAAGAGCTGTATGTAAGTAGGATATCAGTGACTCACCAATCTTGCTGTAAGAAAATGCAGGTAAACCCAGAAAGATATTTTGCAGTTTTTCCATCTTGTAGTCATCTTTTTGCTTCTTTCTAAATATTTGTGAAACTCCACAGTACTGAAAAGTATCAACACAAGAGAGCTGGAGCCCAACAGTGCTGAAGACTCAGTTTGACTAAATGCATTTTACAGCAAATGAAGCCCACAGGTGTTTTCACTACCAGCTGACAATGATTTTGAAACTATTAACTGCAATAAGAGGGTGATGAAAAAGGTAAAGACTACCCTAAATTGTACCAGAAAGATATAAAAGAGAAAGAGTTGCCAATGCTTTTTTCTAAAACAATGGTGTGTTACACAGCAACGTGAGTAACTTTGGTCATCCATCTGAAAAACAGGTTAATGTCAGCTGGAATATTCTCTGAGATGGTTTCCTGAAGTGTTTATGTTAGGGAAGATTGTAAAAAAAGTGCCTTCTTTGACCTAAAAAGCAAAGGAAAAGACAATGTATTACAGCACTCTGCAAAGACATCAAGGCTAAACACTAGAGAGGGAGATGAAGTGTCTAAACTAAAGCAAGGGTTTGGCACAAGGACAAAAGGGATTATACCTGCTATGAATACATTCAAACTGGAACTAGGAAGTGTCTAGCCATCAGAGCTGAGTATGGTGTAGCCTCACAGTGGGAATAACATAAGGAAAATAACCTAATTAGTTTTAAGAGGGAGATTGAAAAGTTTAAGAATGTCTCAACAGCAGGGGACTGGATTTGGGAAGTGCCTTTTAGTCCTGTGTTCAAGGAGGAAGACTGATCAGAGAAACAACCAGAACCTGTCTCTGCATAAATTCCCTTTCAGAAGCGTTCTTGCAAATCACTCTCATCGGGTTTAATTTTTCACACCTTTAGTTCACAAACATCATCACAGATTCCTGCAAGTGCCAGACACCTGTGTGTACCTGACTATAGGTTAATATCTGGAGTTATTAACTGAGTCTCTATTTTGCCACTGATGTACTTTAACCACTCTTAATAGGGATAAGAAGCACTGTAGCAATAATATGGCAGGAAAAGTGAATAGGATTTGGGGTGGGTTTGGACACCCATGCAGGTGTTAGCACGCAAAGTGTTAACATAAGACACATACTATAACTGTAGTAAACCTGGTATAAAACTTGAATTAAACTATTTGTAAATATTATTGGTTTTCTTCCATGTACCATCCCTTCACAAAGATGCAAATGCAATTTTAAGGCCATTTCTACATAAAAATGGGTTAAACCAGAAAAAGAAGTTTGTTGGGTTTTTTTTTATTTTATTTTATTCTGAAGAATTAGCTTAATCACTGTCATTGAAACAAGAAACATCATAGAAATTACAAGAGAAAATATAGGTACAAAGAACATATGGGAATTAACACACTTCAATACACTTCAGCGTGTTCCCAAAATGCCAGAAAAGAGCTGCTATGACATGCAAAGTGAAATCCTATCTCCACTGAAGCAATACTGTAGTCTTGATAAACATTTCACCCTGGAACTGTATTCCCAATTAAAGAGGTGCATCATTAACTACAACAAGCAGTAAGAGCTCTGAGAGGGGTTGCCTCAGATGAACAGGAAAAGAATTAGCAGATGACTGTCACTTTGTTTTTCTTTTACACCACATATGGATGCATGATTGCTACTATGACTTGAACCTCTTCCATCATCACGTGTGACATCTATGCATGATTTTGCAAAATTAGATCTTTCTCTCCTACACCAACAGAATTTTTCTTTCCTCGAAAATCACCCCAAACCTACCAGGGCTCTGATTTGGTGGTCTTTTACCCACATACCACATTTTACTCCCCAGCATATCAACCTTGGTAGTGTGAGTTGACCTGAATTCCTTGAGCTCAGAAAGCCAAGCACTGTCAACCCTCCAACCAACATGACCAACATACCAGCTGTGCAGACAACAATGGAGTGACCATAGGCTCTCTTTGTAATTGCTTTTCACTCCCAAGAGTGTGCCCACACCCCTCCCAGCACTTCTCAGAGGCACAGAGCGTGCCTTAGTGTGCAGAGCTCTGCCAAAAGGAAGCAGAGACAGAGCCACACACATTGTGCCAGGCAAAGGGCCCTGTCTGGGAGCAGCCATGAGCCAGCAATGCTGCTCCCACATCCAGTCCACACAAGGTGGGAAGGAGCCATGCCCACTCATTGTCCCTCATAGAATCTCAGAATTGTTACAGTTGGAAGGGACCTCTGGAGATCATCTTGTCCAATCCCCCTGCCAAGGCAGGGTCACCTGGAGCAGGTGACACAGGAAGGTGTCCAGGTGGGGTCTGAATGTCTCCAGAGAGGGAGACTTCCAGGACCATCCTGGGAAGCCAATTTCAGTGCTCTACCACTTTCAATGTAAAGTTCTTCCTCATGCTGCAGTGAAACTTCTTGTGTCCTAGTTTATGGCCATTGCTCCTTGTCATGTCGCTGGGCACCACTGAAAAGAGTCTGTCACCATCCTCTCGGCACCCGCTTTTGACATACTCATATGCATGAGATCCCCTCAGTCTTCTGTTCTCCAGACGAAACAGCCCAGCTCCCTCAGCGTCTCCTAAGAGATGTCCCAGACCCCTGATCATCTCCCTAGATGTGCTGTTCAGAGACACTCAACCCTCCTCTCTGCCCCTGTCGCTACAGACGAGCTGCGAGACGACCCGGAGCGACACGGGGGGCACCTCTTGCTCAGGGCATCGCTTCTCTTCACCCGCTGCGGGCTTCTGTGCACCTGCCTCATCCCATCCGGGGCCGGGCGGGCATCCCCCAGCTGCCCGGGGCGGCAGGAGCGCGACCCTCAAGCCCCAGGATGGGGAGCGGGGCAGCCCCGGCCCCCCATGAGGGCCCCCCCCCCCCCCGCTGCCATCCCCACGCGGCAGGGGCGGCGCGGGGTGATGACGCCATCTTGGGCAGCCCCGCGATGGCGGCCCGGGCTGAGCCCGCGGCCCCAGGAGGCGCCGCCGGGGCTGGGCGGCATCCGCGTGGCGTTTGCGCCTCGTACGGGGCAGCTACGGGTCCTGAGGGCTCCTCCAGCCTCCCTGTCCGCCCCAGCGCCTCTCCTGTCCCGGCTTCACCCGCCTGCCCCGGGCCCTTCCCCGGGGCGGCGGGGCTTGCCTGGGGTGTGCCCGGGGCACTGCTGCCGCAGCGCCCTGCGGGGCCCCGCGGTGACAGAGGGGCCAGAGCCGGCCAGGGAGCTGCACTGGGCCTTAGCGCGTGTTGGGTGTGTGTCCCAGAGCTCCTGTTTTCTTGTTAGCCAGCAGATCCCCCCTACACTCGGTATAGCCATGCAGGAGAGGGGTTGGCATCTGAAGGAGGTGGGTTATCAGAGCAGTTACCAAACGTACAGTGCTGAGCTGGGGTTTAAAAGGAAGCTACAGGGAGACCCAAGGCACTGTGGGCATGGAGTGTGAGGCCTTTTTAAAACATCTCTGTTGGAAAAAACATAAGGCAGGAGATGGCAATAGTTTAACTTGGCATAGCTGCCAGTCTACCTACAGCAATCTAGGAAAATACAACAGGAATAAAAGACTGCAAGGCAAATAGCCCTCTTGATTTTGTTGTCCCTGAGCCTTGCTCAGCACTGAGTGTCCTCCAGGGGAGAAATGAAAGATCATCCCATATGCTGGCATGGCCTGCCCTCGGCCCATTGTGCTATTCAAAGACAGACCCTCATTGAAGAGTTTTGTTTTGATTTTTTTTTCCTTCTGGGAAAAACTCAAGACTGTCCATAGATTTTGATTGCTGTGAAAATCTGATGTGAGTTAAAGGCAGCTATATGGAGGCAATCTCTGCCTTTCACACACCTGTGTATGGCTTTTGCAACATAAGCCTTTATGATAGTAAATCTTACACCACTGTCACAGCATTTATGTCCTGAGATCTTCTGGAAGCCTGGGACTTGGCAGAAAACATTCCCAATATAGTGAGACATTTGCTGGAACTTATCACTGCAGATTGTGTTCTCAAATCTGAATTTTCTTCGTCAGAACTGTCCACAGAAGTGCTCTGAATCATATTTGCTTCTACACACCTCTGGGAAGCTGGGCAAAACCCACTCCCTCAGCCAGGCATGTTGGACAAACTTGTTTCTTCCTGCTGGATTTTACAACCACAAACAAGGCTTGAAAACAAAACAAAACAAATCAAAAAACTCACCAGCAACACCAGCAGCCCTGCCCTGAACATGTGGGATGCTTCCCTGGATCTCTGTTCATTTCCTGGAGTGAAACTCAGACACACCAGTTCACTGCTGTCCTGAAGTGTGTGGAAGCTTTTTTCTCCCTCTCCCTCCTTTTCTTTTCCCTCCTTCCTTGTGTTGATTTGTGGGACCAGAATGACTTTGATTTCAGCAAGTTTGCTGTTTATTCACGTCACAAGTTTGACAGCTTTACACCAAATCAGATTGCTGGGTTTCAGGAGAGCTCTGAGGCGTCACTGGGAGCTCCTTTAGATTAAACTCGCCTCCCCGGTCTCCCCCCTCTCCCCCTCCTTCAGAGCCTTTTAAACCTCTCTGGGGCTTTAACAGAAACGTGCTCCCAAGACCTGCATTTCATTCTGCCACTAATATGGTAAGTGCTCTTTGCATTTCTCTTGACCTCGAGGCAGAAAAGCAGAAGCTGGTCTCTTTGCCTTGGGGGCTTGCAGTACATTTTGTGCCCTCTTTAAGATGGGGAAAAAAGAGGGCTCTCCTCCACCTGCAAGAGCAGTCTCTGCTGCTGTGCCTTCCCATGGATGAGCAGATTCCCTGATTGAGGCTCCAAGCTCTGCCGTTGCCTTGCAGATATTTAGAGCTGCTGCAGATGGGGCTTATTTGGAGGAGGGAAAAAGGGTGACTCCAGAGCCAACCCCAGGCTCTGCGGTCTGGGACTCCTGTAGAACTGCAGGGGCAGAAGAGAGTGCGAGCAGCCTGGAGGTGACTCTGCAGGCTTTGCGCTGCTGCTTTAGAGCTGAATCAAACCTCCAAAGTGGCAGGAACGGTCTGGCCAAGGACAGCCTGGGACCTCCCTTCACCCTAAACCCACTCAGCACCGTAGTATTTTCCAAGGGATCGCAGGAAACTCAGCCACCTCCCTGGCACAGCTCTGCTCGGAGCCCCTGTGCCGCGGGGGGCTGCGGCGGGGCGGCTCTGCCCGCGCTCAGCGGAGGGAGCGGGGCCGTGCGGGGCTCCCGGGCAGGGAGAAAACAAAAGGGGGGAGCGGGCACCCGGGTCAGGGCTGGGAGCGCCTACGGGAGCAGGCGGCGCCTGCCCCGGGACAGGCACCTGAGCACAGCCCGGCCGGGACAGAAGCGAGGGGAGCGCTCGCCGGGGCCGGGCTGACACCGCCTCCCCTCGGGGGCTGGGGAGGGGGCGCCGCCGTCCCCCGGCCAGCGCCCCATCGCCTCGGCCCCTTCCCTCCGCAGAGCACCGGCCGGCCGTGCCCGGAGCCGGACTTCGCCGGGGGCCCGGGCTGCGCCTGCCCCTGGTCCGCCCCCGCCGGTGTTTCCAAGGAGACCTGGGCCGCCGTCTGCGCCGCGGAGCCGCCGCACAGCCAGGGCCGGCGGGAGGCTCGGCTGAGCCCGGGTGAGTGCGCTCCGGGGAGCGGGGCTCCCGCCGCCGGGCAGGGCGAGGGAGCGGGAGCGGAGCGGGCTAACCCCGGCTCTGCTCCCCCAGGCCACTTCTGCAGCCCGCAGCTCGGTGCCCAGGACGCGGCGTGGCAGGGAGACCAGCTGTCCTCCCAGCTCTACAGAAACAAGCAGGTAAAGGTTCCGCGCCGCCCCGGCAACGCCGGTTTCACCCCACGAGGTTCCTGAACTTTGTGTCCCGTATCGCACCTTCTGGGCTGGTTTGTGACGTGTCTCCCTCTCGCTTGCACAGTTGGGGGAAGTGACAGAAAAGCGCTTTATTTGTTGTTCCTTGCTTGAAGTATTTGTCTCCCCTATGTTGCCCTGTGAGGTTGGAACAGCTGTTTTGGGGTTCCCTATGCATCCCTCCTCTCTTACTGCGTATTGCACCTTGGCACTAGAGAAGACCAGGAGCATGACCAGGACGTCCCTCGGGCTCTGATGGTGCTGTTGTCCAAAAATATGTAGCGTGTCCTCCTGATTCAACCAGGTTTAACTTCATGAGAAATGATTCCACCAGAATTGCCTAATTCCATGGAGGATGAGCCATTTTGACCAACAAGGATTTCCTGGTTATTTTATTTTCTCTCATTTTTCCTTTTTTATAATTCCCGACAAGGAGCAGGAGAAACTCTGAACAATCCTAGATGAAGGAACTCCAGACTGATGACTCTGATCAAGAACTTGGAATGATGTTTTGACACAGTGAAGTCAATGAAAAGTCATTTATTAACTTAATCATCAACCCTAGTTCCAGATGTCAGTGTACTTCTTTTTTTTGGCTCTGCCTCAGTCATTTGAGGCTGGAGCTTGACAGCCTCTGCTCAGCAGATGCCTGGGGTTCTTAGCGGAAGATCCTTTGTCCTCCTAAAGAAGTCTCCAGATCTATGATCAGAGGGCAAAAATCTGTCTGCAAACGCATAGATTTCCCATGAAAAAGGGTTAGGCATCTGCCATTCCCGTTCAGCTCTAGAGAGTGGGAATTAGCTCTGTATATGTACCAGGACTAGCACAGTAGGGTCCAGAATTGAAGGGATAACTGCATCCTACTGTATCATAAAGAATGACACCTTCATCTTCCCTCTGCACTCTACTCCCATAAATTGTTAGTCTGCAACTCCTCCTTCTTTTTTCTCACCAACCAACTATAAAAGGGAATGACAGATGCAAAGGGATGTTTACTGCCGCTCAGAAGGAGATCCTGCAGCTGCTGTCATGCCCATGACGGTTTCTGGCTGCTCACAGGACTACCTGTAATTCTATTTTCTATTATTATTCTGTGGTTACAGGTTTTTTCAAAGTAATCTTCTCAAACACTCACTAAAGATTAAAGGAAGTTAAAAGTGAAAACTGAACATTCATGCCACTTAGATTTATAGAGACAAGAGGCTGGAGGGGGTGTGTTGAGCTCACAAAGCAAACACCCACATCATCAAATCCAAGCAGCCTGTACCATAGGGCAGTTGCTATTAAGTTACAGAGTCAACATCTATTCATCAGTATCTCTATTCCACAGCTTCAAGATACTTTGCTTCAGAAGGAAGAGGAACTTGCTAGGTTACATGAAGAAAATAATAACCTCCGACAGTACCTGAATTCTGCCCTGATTAAGTGTTTAGAAGAAAAAGCCAAGGTATTGTGTTCAAACGTGTTGTGTAGATGTGTGCAGAAGGAACAGGTTAAATAGGTACAGGCCATTAAAATACATGGAAAATCAAAGAGTGCAGACAACCAGCAGTGTGAGATTTAACTTCACAGAGCTGCCAAATTGCTGGTCATGGATCTAATGTGACAGTTTCCTCCAGGAATGATATCTTATAAGTTTTGACTGTGGAGACAGTATAGCCCATGGCATAATTTAATTTATTAGTTATAAGTAAGGGTTATAAACAAGGTAAAATTATTCCATCTAATGCCTTTTTTTTAGTAAAAAGGATCAAATTTGAATATATATTTCTTTAATGTGCCTGTTTTGTCAATTATCCCTTTGATAAAGATTGTTTCCCTTTTTTTATTTTTTTTTGTGGTTTCTGGTTTATGTTTTGTCTTGTTTTGTTTGATTTTCCAGTGATATGTTTTTATTAGTTTACATTAGAATAGTGAGCTATATTTTTTTCCAATTTATTAATTAAAAAGTTGTGTGGTGTTTTTGTAAAGGTAAAATACAAAATGAAACATTTGACGTTGGATGAAACATTCTGTTAGACTACGTATGAAGGGGGTTTTTAAATATTTGGATTCTTTGTCTCTCATCTTAAAAAAATATAAAGATATTTGTTCCTTATCTCCTTAATGACGTTTTTTATTATTCCAGTCAGTTATTCAGTAGTAGCCATCTTCTACATCTAAAATCTGAGGTCAGAAACATGTTTCTTTCAGGTATCTAGAAAATCAGATTTTAATCTTCTCTCTCTACCTTTTTGTTTGTTTGTTTTAATAGAAACTGCTATCCTGCCATGGACAGAAAACCTGTGCTATTCTCAAAAGTGCCAAGAGGAGATTAAAAGAGGACCATTGCTTTGTTCCTCAAGAAACTCCTCATGCTTCCAAAGCTAGAAGGAACCTCCTTGATGAATTCACTGCCTGTGAAGAGCAGGCCAGCCCTGCCGTGGACAGCTGGGTCTTGCAGACCTTAGGATTAAAAGATGTCAACACAATTGATGAAGCTTCAGCTAACTACAGTGCCCTGTCCTCAGACCTTGGAAAAGACACGTACTGCCTGAGCCCTGGTGAAGCAATAGACTATGAGCACAGTGCAGGAGCAGCAGCAGCATTTAGCTGCAGCCACGTGCCTCCAGCTGACAGCAGTGCCCACCCATGCAGTGAGGACTCTCCCTTCCTTCCTCAGTTTCCTTCAGCACCATGCACCTCCTCAGCAGTACCTACTGTTTCCTCCCTCTCAGCATATGGGTTGCCTTATTTGCCTGGTGATTTGTCACCCAACAAGACTGAAGTGGCCTTCACAACATCTCTGAGTCCCCACCGCAATGTGAGAACGCACACCTTCCACCAAGGACAAGCCTTTGTGCGCAGGGATGATGACGGAGGATGGAGATTCACCTGGGTGCCCAAGCAGGCTGAATAATGCACCTGGATCAAGGGTCAGCCATAGGGGGTGTAGGAGACACACTTCACCTTATGCACAGGTGAAATGTAAAAAATGAACCCTTCTGGACTTTGTTAAATGCTACTCTGTCACTTACCCGCTCCTCATTCCCTCCCAGATTTTCACAGGTGTGACTCCAGATTGCACTTGGACAATTATCTGCCCCAGGCCAGATGTACAAATTGGATTCCCTTCTCTTGTGCCTGTGTCGAGATACCTGCTTTTACTTGCTTCCTGGTTTTTCTATCATCAGTTATTCCTTGTTACTGGTAGTTTCCAGGCTGGAGTGCTTTCAGCTTTGATGATCACTCTCGCATGCACCAAACTGGAAAGCATTTTGGGTTACAGTTGGGAAATAGCACCTCTCTGATAGATATCTACGGATAACAAAGGAGGCATAGGTTGGAGACTGGGGATCAGCAGTTTCTAAGTGATTTATGTCTGTCTTGACTGCACAGATTGCCTTGGATTTAAGTACCATGGTTGCCTTATGTGCTGCACAAGGCTGACCTATCTGCAGATCCATGGTGCTGTCACATTCTTTGATGATGCCTCAAAATAAACAGGATTTGCTTCTATTGCCTGGAGGCTACTTAATTACAAGTGATTCAGCGAGTTCAGGGGATCTTTCTAAGGTGTGATTAAGAGACTAATATGTTTACTAATATGTTTTAAAGGTATTTTGTCAGTTAGATAAAGGGAGTTTACCTTTGGGGAGGCAATATCACTTAGTGGTTGAAGTGAGTCTTTGGGAACCACAGCCTTCTTGCTTTTCCATGTCTCTGCCAGGGAGTGGTGGGCTCAAAGTAAGACCATCACTACCTTGAGAATGCTTTAAAACTCTGAAGGTGCTCTAGCACTGCACAGGATTTGACTTTTAGTGATGCTACTAATGATATGAAGTCAACAGATATGAAGGAAGCTCACCAGTACTGTTTTGTGTTACCTTTGTTTTCTGCTTTACAGTAGTTTGGTGCCTAAGTATTCAAAATAGATTGATTTAGTTATTCATGCTTTCAGAATGGTGTCAGTGACATTAAGGACTTAAGTGAAAAATAATCATAACTGAGAATTTCCTTTCAGTGGCTTATTTTCCTATAGAAAAATGGATATTCCTTTATTTTTATCTCCTAAATAGCCTGTTGTGCCTTAGAATATGTGACATACTCCATCAGGAGCAGTGATGATTTTCCAAAAGACTTTTAAATAAACAAACTCTTTATTTCCGGGTAGTTACTTTAAAGTAACTGCGACAGATTTCCAGAATAGGCAATTAGAAAGCACTGATTGTAGACATTATTGCACTGGGTTAAAAAAACAACCAACCAACCAAAAAAACCAGCGCAAACCAACCACAAACCCACACAACAACCACCACAAAAGAAAACCACAAAAAAAAAACAATTAAAAAACCCCTCAAACCCCAAAACAAACAATGCACATGGAAGAACTACAAAGTATTTGTTTGGGAAGTTTGTTGTAGTCCATAAAATTATGGCCAGCTGATGAAGACTAGTCAGATAAGATCACTGTTTCTGGCACTTTTCTGCTTTTCAGTGAAAGCAGAAGAAAAATCCTGTCCTACAAACAACTCATTTCTTTCTCAAGGCATTTAATTTCTATTAATCTCCTCTTGCTCCACTATATGAGATACCATTGAAGAAAATACTCCTGTCACTGGAGTTTTTATTGGGGTGTGTGGTAGTGTAGAAAATACGTGACCTTAACATGAGTGTGTGATGAGACACCCTGGTGTATGTGATGTGGGAGATGCTTGGAATAGACAGTGTGGCTAGAGGATTACGCTGAATTGCAGCTGTAGGTGTCACATCTTTTAAAACATCTGTCTGTGTTTTCTAACACTGTTGAATGGTATTACTTAACGAATTTCAATGCTATGGAGTCACCAGTAGTAATAAGCACATTTGTCCTGTCAGCAAATATTGAATCATTTTTTTTCTCTGAAGAGAGAGAAAAACTTTCCATTTGTTTGACATTTCCTTTCCACATTTTTATATCACTGCATATGAGAACTTCTCTTGCAGACAGACAGAACAAATTTGTCAGATCTTTGGTACAATCTTGAAGTAGGGTTGCAGTAGGAACAAACTGATGCTTCAGCCTTTGCCAGCGTTTTGTAAAGGGATGATTGTCCCCTTGTCTCATAGCAAATAGGTTATGGATGTAAGGGAATGATGTACGTGAATGAATCCTCTTTTCCTGTGGGCTCCTGAATTTTACTCTCTATGAAGGAGTGGAGTCCTGCAGGAGAGATTTCTGTCTGAGCCTGGTTTATTTGGGTAGAGGATCCAATGGTGCTGCTCCTGTGAACTCATGGGTGCTCCTGACCTACATGTGCAAACTTAAAATTCTGGTGTAGACAACTGCTTGAGCAAAGGTCTGTGTTAATAATACTGCTGATCACTGGAGCAGAGGGAGCACATTGGAAAGGAAACAGAAGAATCTCCAAAGCATGTTAACATATAACTAAAGCTGATTTGTTTTTCCCTGGCAGCACCATCTGAACTAGTATTTCCTGAGTTATTGTGAAGAACAATAAAAACAAGCTACTCTCTGTCTAAAACCAACCCACAACAGCCCAGTGACTGAACCCTTCCTTTAGATAAATACTGCTCCTATTGCCAAAAGCAAGCCATTACTCAGCATTACCTCACTCTAAACTGCCTGGTTCCTCTGAAGATCCTGCATTCCTGCAGGTATAATAGATGAGGAAAATTAATAAGAGGCTGAAGACATCTCGTGGCAGATTACTTTCAAGTGGTAGGATATGAGGACAGTTACTGACTGGGCTGGTGCTGGCTTGACATGTTGGTTTGACCTCTTGTGTCTCCGTGATTTCCTTGGGCCTGAAAGCAGTGAAGCTGCATTAATGTGGTGCTGCTTCCATTTGTGTGCTTTTACCTCTTGGTAGGGTTCATGACCTTCAGTGCAGGCTGAGGCTGCAGCAGCAACACTGCTACCAACTTGATATAAGCAAGTCTGAATCCCACTCTTCAACATGTAGGCACACTCTGTAGATGTTCCTTAGATAGAACTTATGAAAATAAGCCATAGAAATGGAGGCTAACACACCATCTTTTCCCTCATGAGATAAAATTCTGGAAAATGCTTGCTTGATTTTGATTAGTGTCCAGTTTGCATTACAGTTCTTTGGCCTGCAAATATGTGGGAGGGAAGGTCTTGCCTGTACAAAGTCTATATGGGACTTTGAAATGGGTGTTCAGTCTTGCTTTGTGCCTGGTCCTCCCTGTTTATCCTTTTGTATCCATTCCCAGCAGGTGAAACAGTCAAAGCCACCCTGCTGCTCATGGAATGTGGCAGTTAAAGCCCAGGGAAGTCCTGCGCCCCAGAGGCAGCTAGAAATCAGTAGGGATGAAAGCAAAAAGTGGAAACAAAATCCAGTTCTTCACACAGCCATCACAACTAGGTAGCCAGGAGATAGCAGAGACAAATTTCAGCTTGGTACTATACTTCTAACTCCAAAAAAAAAAATCAGGCAGCTGGAATAGAGAGGCAGGAGACAGAAATTCTGGGTTCTGTTACTGCCTCTGGTATTACACTTAGTTTCTGAGCTTTGGTTTCATGGAATCCACCATCAGACCAGCTCACAGCTATTTAACAAAACATGATTCTTGCTGCTGCAAACTCCATGAGAAGTTCCCTTTTGCCAAGGGTAAGTACCAGGCCCATACAACTCTGGGAATGGCCATGGGGCCCTGGAAGGTTCTTTGAGCAGCAGTGAACTTAATTGTCTGTAAATATCTGTCTTGCATTAACATAATTTGTTTTATTTTTTTATTTGAAGTTTGTTTTCTTTATTATGTGAATGTAACGTGCAGCAGCACACTTTAAAACAACTCATGTTTCTAGAAAGGTATACTAACAGAAATAGAAGTTAATTTAACATTTAATATGTTGATGTTCATGATTTTTGCGATTGAAAAAGGCCATAATTATATGTAAATGTCAATTTTACCAGTGTCACTAAGTTATGTCTAATAAAACTTAACAACTAATTGATGCAATTCTTTCTGCCCACTTTACATCCATTAACCCATGCAGCTGTTGCTCACACTGCACAGCACCACAGCTGGCACCTACACACCTCTCCAGAGGAATGAAAGGAACCTTTATTTCCTGCAAGCACAAGTGTCCACACAAGGACATACAAATTTTTGTATGATAACAGACCTAAATATATTAATAGCCACAGGTGTGCTCATTTCAGTCTGGGCTTGCACAGCATATTGCTGTGATCCATCAGTGCTTTCACTCAGATGCCATGCTACAAAATGGTAAGGAGAGAGGGAAGTATTGTGCTTTTTGTCTGTTATTTTTGCAGCATCTGGCACTCTCATTTAATAGACTTATACCTTCTTTCTTAACTGAACATCCTGATCCAGGGCAACCTGATTCATCATAGTACTCTGAGTACTCCTGATTCTGACTCTGAAATTATGAATTGTAAGATGGCACTGAGGTGTCACGTAAAGAGAATGAAGATGAGAGAGAAAAGCGTGACTAAAGGATTCAAAGCTGTAGTCAGCTCTACTTGACAACAAAGTAAAGCTGTGTTATTATTAACTTTCCCTTCTGATCATGGGTAGGTTTGTTAGTAACCATGCACCAGCTGGGGTAAGAGAGATTTTTCATTGGAATGGAGATTGCATATTGCTTATGAAAAGATACAAAGTGAGCTTTCCTTAATCTCTTTTGCCCTCATCTAGAAACCACAATAAGTCCATGAGATGATTGATAAACACACTGGCCTGTTGCCAGGTAGCTGACATCCTGTCATAAAGAGGGAGCAGTCTATAAATAATTTGTGGAATGAGCTGTGATTCACCTAAAATGCTATCTCTCTAGTCATTTCTCTGCTTCATTAGTTGTGCATCACTGAATTATTTCAAGGCTAAATACTTAGGCACAGTGCAGCCCAGGGAAATCAGTATAATAATGATGCACGAGGAACAGATAATAAAAGTGAACATAAGCATGAAGAGCTGGGATGTCTGAGGTCCCCATTTCCCCTAATTTATTTTTAAAAATCTCACTCCAACTGTGGCTGTAATACTGATATGGTGAAATTTCCAACAACTACTGCCTCAGAAGCTGTTACTAGGCAAAGATCACTCTAACTATTCATTTACTAACCAACACTTGAATGTATGACATCTTCCACCATGACATTATTCCCTGTTAGTGATCACAGAGCACGAGGTCAGGAACTGGGAGCTATGTGATGCTTTCAGGGACACAAAATATGTCACTAGATGAGCTGGGATGCAGGCCAGGAATCCTAGCTTCCAGCGGTGCAGAATTAAGGCCTTACAGCACATTAGAGAGTGCAAATGTGCTGTCAACGCCCAGCTGTGCCCCCCAAGCCCCAGCTGTGCAGATCGCAGCGGCCACGCAGCCGAAGCCCCAGCGGTGCAGCTGCACACCCAGAGGTGTAGAGGGAAGTTGATTTCCATTGTGGGGCTGAGGCCCTAAGGCTTTCACAGCTGGGGGCTTCAGCGGGGGGTGTTTCACTCCACGTCTGTGCAGACGCGGTGCCCGTGGAGCACCTCCCGGCCCCGGCGGGGACCCGCCCGCAGCCGCGGCCCCGCGGCCCTGGCCAGGGTCCTGAAACGACCGCGCCGCTCGGCCCGGGGGTGCGAGAGCATCAGGGCGAGCGAGAGTCCCCACCAGAGAGAGACCCGTAATAGCAGACCCAAACGTTGTGCGACCCACCCGAGATAAGGCGGAGCAGCCCCGTGCAGTTACCAGTGCTCGAAGGACCCCGTCGCACCTGATGGTGTTTGGTTAGAAAAATGAACTTTCTTTGATCTCGAGGTAATCTTTACCTGATAATATGACTGGGGTCAGAGTCAGGCAGAAAAACTGTGTTCACCGGGCTACATCCTTGGTAAACATAACTGACACTTTACAGGTACAGCCAGTGCTGGGCTCCTCTGCCCAGGCTGTGAGGTAGCTGAGGAGCAGGCAGGGTCATTTCAGAGCATCCTACCACGTATCACTGCATGTAGGGAAAGTGTCCACCAGAAAGCTCCCCTTACCAGTGTTATGAACTGCAGTTTATCCTGGATACAGAATGAAGAAATTATCAATTGCCTCCAAGCCAGGACAGAGAAAACAAGAAATCCCTGCAACCTTTGAGAATAGCGTCCTTTATAACCTTCAAAGGTTACATGTTTAATTGTGTATCAAGCTCCAGGTATTACATTTGATTCTACAGAAACATTTGTTACTAGTGAATTAAAATAACCATCACTCTGTGTTATAGGATTATGTAGACTATCCAAACA